GAAAAATGATTGTGTCCTGAGGTCACCAGCTTCCCCTCCCCAGCCCTACCCTAGGTCTCTGCTGCACGCACCTTGACGTAGTCATAGAGACAGGACTCAGACGGCTCCAGGTCGAACTGCCAGAAGTTCAACTTCACCACAAAGCCCTTTGGGACTGTAATGTCCCAGGTGCTGATGTTGTTGTTGGGGTACGGCTTGGGGTAATTGGGGGATGTGATCTCCCCAAAAAGCTTCCTTGGGGTTGGGCTGGAACTGACCACTCCAAAGAGGAGAGACCCCCACAGGAGGAGCCGGGGGAGCCTGTGAACACAATGTACATGGAGCATGAGTTACAGACCAGCCATAGATCTGGGCCATATTCAACCAGTAGAAACTTCATGGGAGCCTCATGTGTAGTCCAATGGACCCCTGGGTACACTGGGTATCGACCAGGTGTTATAGAGCCAATGGAGACATAGGAGACATTGAAGAGACCCAAGATCCAATCAGGTACCAGTTGGGCATCAGGTACTAGCCAAGAATATGGTTCCCTCAGACCAGGAAGCCATTTCAAGGGAAACTAGGCATGAACCCCATGGGCACTGGCTGTTTGTTACACACCAGCCATGGACCTGGGTCTCTTGGAACCAGGGGGAGGAACAGTAAGAGATCCAGCCTTATAGGCTCTGAAGGTTTCCCTCCACCTGGCTTTGGGCCACCTGATTCAGCTTGTGTTTGTTAGCTTGGGAGCTTGCCCAGCTCAGCAGTTCAGGGTCCAAAGGTCCTCAGTATGGCGGGGAGTAATCCCCAGCCATGCCTGGGTCCCTCTCCTGTGACCCCCTGTTGAGGGAAGGGGTGGGGCCTGTGCAAGGTCTAGCTAATATTCTCTCCCTTTCCACAGGGTGTGGTATGGAAATCTGGGCAGGTTAGTTGTCCCTTCACATCTTGGTCCCAATCTCGGGGTTACTTGGGGAGTGAGGCCATTACGCTCCTCCAAAATACACTCATTCCCCTTCCCTGGAAGGAGATCAGCCAGGGGGGATTCAAACGCTGCACCACTTCGAACAGGAGGATTAATGGGATAATAGTGGGACATGGATTTAACCCCGTCCACCTCTCATCCTTCCCCAAGGAGTTGGACCCTTCAGTCTTCTCCCCCATAAAGATGCCACCACCTCCCTCCCCAGGCCAGATTGGCAGCACTCACATGTTCTTAGTCTTGTCTGATGTGTGTATGTCTCTCTCTCTCTCCCTCCAAGCGCTCTAACCAGGCGAGTTGTAATCAAATGCAAACTCTTAACCCTGCCAGATCTAATTCAACGAGGTGGGGGAAGACCCAGAGGAGAGGGACGGAAGAGAGACAGTTAGGTTACAAAGCGATTGGCAACGTGAATGGGTTTCATTAGTCCACATTCTGCTGCCCTCTGCTGTCTCTTTGCTGGAACTGTGGCCATGAACTTTTTTTTTTTAAAACAAGATCCAACAGAGTTGTACACATTTGTGTGTGTATAGATAAGGTTGCTCAAGAGACACTTAACTGGAAATTTCCCTATATTAAAGTGCAATTTTGGGGGGAGTTTTGTTTTTAAAGGTATCATAAAAAGGAAAAAGAAATAGGATCTGTGTTCTTCCTGCCCTTCGTTTTTGAGGCATTTTTCTGTTGTGGGAAGAAGGTTTGAAATGTTATTCTTAAAAAATTTAAAAACTGCTCCTTTTTACCTTAGAAATATCAATACTGCCAGGTCTTTGCCTTACTGTTTTGCTGAAGAGCTCCTCAGAGGTGTGAATCAGCAGCTTCCTTGATGAGGAAACAGGAATGTTAAATCTTTAACAAAGAGAAGTTTTCTTTCAGCTGTTTCTTCTGCATTTGTGTTAAATAAGTGTTAATGATAATAAACAAAGCTCAGAGAGTTTAAAACACTATGAATACAAATACCTTCCTCTCTCCCAATTAGTCAGGCCTCTCTGGTTGTTCTGCAGTTGTCTACAGAGTCTTCCAAGGGAAATAGGATTTACAAGAACTGAATTATGAATGTGAAAAAAAACAGTAAAAACAAACAATTTTTCAGGCTTTCTTCATACAGTAGGGAAGAAGGCTCAAGCCCAATATTATTGTTCCTCTGTACATGAGCTTTCAGTTTAGATTTTCCTGGCTTTCTAATGTTGGGGTCTCTAAAATGTCAATGATGTCTTACAGATTTTTCTTTAAAGACACTGATACTTCTCAAGCTTAACACTATTTTTCTGGGAATCCACAGTAAAGAGTCCAAGTCCATGAAAAAAGTCACAACAATGAAATAATGTAAGTGTCCGAGGGTGAAGGAAGCATTTTGAGATGTTTATGCATGTGTATTTAAGGCTGTAGAGAAACTGTACATTATATATATTGTTATATTGTCTGAAAAAGAACATGTGACCCTGTAATTAATGACTCTCATAATAATGTACACACACAGGACCAGAGTTAAGGTTAAATGGGCAATATTAACTCTGGCATTTCCTGACTTTTGAGTGCTTTCCTGTGCATGATGCACATTCTCAGGCAGCCCCAATCAAGGCCCTGGAGGGAAGCTCTCTGGCACAGGACACCATCAGGAATGAAGCTCACAACCAATGGGCACAATCTGTATGGAAGTTTTCAGCCACAGGACACTGCTAGGAGAGAAACTTATATCAACGCGGCACCAGTAGGAGGGAAGCTCACAGCCACAGGGCACCAATGGGGCCCAGTTTAGGGTCATAGAGCATTATTGGCAAGGAAGCTTGTAGCCATAGAGCATCAAAGTTTGCAGCTACAGGGCACTGTTTGCAGGGAAGTTTGCTGCCACCAGACATGATGACAAGGAACCTTGTTCCCCCAGGGCACTGCTGGGAGGGAAAGTGATAATACCCATGGGAATGACACCCATAGGACACTGTGTGAAAGCAGCTCATAACATCAGCTCGTAACATAACATCTGGGTCTCCCACAGTCTTACAAAGGAACATCACTATGTGAAATGCAATTGTGTGTGTGGAAGGAGCCTAAGACTAGAATAGGGTGAGTGCGGAAGTGTGTGTGCTACAAGTCAGGTCTGGGGTTTACATGTTCATAAAGAAGGCAGAAATGTTTCAATACCAGGCCAGATGCCTCTCTTTTGTGGCCTCAGCATGCCATGGGTGTGAGAATCTGTTTGCATGTGGCTGTCATGCCATTTCACTTCCATGGGAGTAGCTGTCTTTACAGCCGGTTACAGCTCCTAACCCTCTCTGTTCTCATGTGTACTTAGCATTGAGATTCTCCTCATAGGCTGATGGTTTCCCTGCAAAGCAGCTGTCTTGGGAATGCTGGTTTTGAATTCAGCTGTTGGAGAGAACATGAACTTTCCAGCTTAAAAGAGTCACTTGGACCTTTTGTGGAGGGCACAAGTAACCCTGAAAATTCTCCAAAAGCTTAATTTTCCAGAGGCTTGCTGGGCTCCCACCAGGGTGTGTTTATCAGGGCCCCCCTCCCTCTGAGGCACTGCTTTCAAATGAATCTTTTACCCTACAGGAAACTTTCCCTTCCTCACCTGTACTCCTCACCCTTGGATTGCAGGGAGAGGCTGTTAGCACAGAGTGACTGGGGCAGCCAAGGTGAGGCAGATGGAGTGAGGGAGGAGAAGAGTCCATTGCCGGGGGCATGGGGACCAGTTCCAGTTTTTCTCCTTCAGTGGGAAGAAGGGTCCTTCCAGGGTTGCCAATTTTTGGAATGTTGTAATAGTAATGTGTCCCATGAATTTTACATTTATTTTAAAGCCCCAGCTCCTGGGCGTCATGAGTCTCTCACCTTTCATTTTAAATAAATGAATTTCTAATTTCTAACCCTCAGTGTTGCAAAGAAAAGGTTGGAAATGTGACCCCTAAAGGTACAGAATTCCAAAAGCAAATACAGAGAAAACATTTATTATTGTATAAAATCCCATGACTTAGAATCCCTGTGATTTGGGGGGGTCTAACTCATTATTTTTGACTGTTTGGGCTGGTAATGTTGCTTCCCAGATGGTCTTTGGTTCCAATTCAGTTCCAATCCAGAGAGGGACTCAGAGGTTAAGGGAAGTGCTGGATATCAGCAGTGGCCACTAGGGGTCAGCATGTGTCCTGAGAATGCTGGGGGTCCAGGTTTATAGGGCAGGATTACTCTCCTTCTGATGAATGGGCAGAGATGTGCTGACCATGGAACCCTAGCTTCCTTCTGACCACGAGAGGTCTGGCCCCTGCCCTATTCTCCACCCCCCCGCCCAGCCTGAAGAGAGCACAAGGTGAAGGTAGCAATGGGATCGCTCAGGCAAGACAAGCCCTAGGCCCCTCTCTTCACCAGCTGCTCCACAGCCCTGCCCCTGGGGGTGAGGCAGATTCACTTCCCATTTGGGCCCAGTTTCCCCCTTCCATCTGGAGTTCAGACAAGCCGTGACTGCACCACTCCACCTTTCTCCACCCCTCCCCTCTGGCTGCGATACCAGAGCTCTTATTCTGAAAGGATCTCACTGAAACCTGAAGCCACATTTCCCTCCCACTCCACAGACAGACCTCCCTCACTTCCCCACCCCCATGACCTCCCTCCTTCTTTTCCTTCTCACACTGATTGGGACCCCCCCTCATCCCACAGACTGCCCCAGCCATCAGAAATTCCCCCTCTCTTTTATTGTCCCCTCACTTCTTTGCAGACAGATCTGGGGCTCTCCTCACTGTGGAATTCGCCTGTGGATGGGTCTCAACTTGTCTGCACAGCACATCACCATGGAGCACTAACCCCTGGCCTCAGCTTCTCTCCCAGCACTAAGGAGTAGGGACCAGAACGGAGAACCAAATCTGGGTCTCCCATATGACAGCACAGGGCCAGGGCACTAACCTTTAAGAGGCACCAAAACCAACTCTGCAGGGCTCCCAGTCCCCAGGGAGTGAGAGAGTGGGCTGGAGAATGTAAGCTGGGTGTCACATGCTTTGGCACCTAGATGCAAGATGAACGTAGACAGTAATAAGGAAACACAATTCAACAGAGGTTTTGGCCACTTGTATTTTTTATTCCAAAGCAGGGGGGGGTGGGGAGCAGATTTGATAGCTTTGGTCTTGACTCTGCAATGAAACTAGTTCTGTCCAAATGGGTTAGTGCCCAGTACTGGGATGGTGTTGTGGTTACTTCACTTTCTGGAAGATCTGTACACAAACCTCATCTTCTGCTGTCATGCGCTGGGAAGAAGAAAGGGAGGGAGGGAGATAAAAGAAGAGACTTTGGGCAGGTCTGCTGGGGCTTCTCAGTTCAAACCCACAGTTCTCATGCTTTCCAGTCCTGGCTCCCCCTGCACACAGCACTGCCAATGCCCCTCAATGCCCCTCAATGCCAATGCCCCTCAAACCTGACCCACACCAACCTCCCTGCTATTCCAGTCCTGGCTGCCACCTGCATGCAGCTCTGCCAGTGCCCCATAGTTCTCCCAGTGCCCCAGAGCCCTTACTCACAGCCTCCCTGCTATTGAACCCCTGCCCCCTATGCAGCTCTGGCAGTGCCCCATAGTTGTAACCCACAGCCTCTCTGGTATTGTATTCCTGCCCCTCACCCCACGCAGCTCTGTCAGTGATCCATTGCCCTTACCCATAGCCTCCCTGTATTTCCATTTTTCTCTTTGTGTCTTAAGAGGTTTTGCTGAGGTTTTAAGTGTCACACACAGGAAACCTTGTGTCTGATTCATCTCTTCCCTTTTCCTCTCACAAAGCCCCAGGAGCAACAGTCAAATTTCAGGGCAGGGCAGGGACATTGGCCGATTCACACTGAGCTCAGCCTAGTCAACTTTTGAACCCTACAGAAGGATGTTTGTGTGAAGTGGCTGTTGCCTGGAGAAACTCTGCATAACCTATGGGGCCTAGCTTGGGATCCAAGGAGGGGAGGAATGATCATCCCATTCTGAGCCTCTGGCATTCCCCTAGTGAATCCCCTCTTGAGACTCCCCTTTCTGGGGTGTTAGTGTGCCGCACCCTACTCAGAGCTCCGTCTCACCAGATGCAGATGGTCCCCCTCTAGCCAATGCCTCCAGCCCCGGTTCCTCTTCTCTCCTTGCTGCTCACATACCAGCTGATCCCCTTCCCAGGAGACGACTGTCTGAAAGGGGTTGGGGGAGAGACAGGCAACACTGTCAGGCATAGGAAAAGACCTTGTCTGCTTCTTTGTACTGTCACCTTTCTACACTGACCCACTACCTGCCCCTCCCTCTAAGACATTTTCAAATGCAGCTCCTGTTTTGAAGGTTTTTTTTGTTGTGTTCCTAACTTTAGATCCCTTGGGTCTGTTTCTCATGTATGCTGAGCAACCTCAGTATCTTATCAGGTCAGACATTTCATGACATGCGATGAATCTGTTTGTTCCAGTGGATAAATCATCTGACTTTCTGATTTTTTTCAGGGCATTGCTGCAGGGGATAGATTTAAGGGTATCTGGGTCCTGAAATTTTAGACTTCTGGGCTCTATTGTTTATTTAACCTTAACTCTCATTTCCCTGCTCATCACACATATTCATCATTAGACCTGAACACATTAGCTATTAGCCTGTCAGATCCAGCATAGCTCTGAGCTGAAGTCTACTCTGGCTCCTGCATCAGAAACAGGATTGTTCTGATTATTAGGCAAAGCCCGGGCCACTGACCACAGTCAAGCTGCCCTTTAAGTCGCTGGTCGGTCCTCTCAGCCCTCTCACCAGGCACTTGCGTCCATCCACTGGCCCCAGGTCCTCTTCAAACTCCTTTCCCAGGTCAAAGTCCATAATGTAGTTGCGCAGTGAGGTGATTGTGCGGATGGTCATGTGATCTCCAGCATGGATTATCTCCTTGTCTGGCTTCAGGAAGCAAACCAGTTTTCTCAGGGCCACATTAATGTCTAGGTGGGGTGAGGTGGAGGGAACAGATAATGGGGTGTTGGCAGCAGTGAGCTTCCCATAGCAGTGCCCTTCCCTGCTCCTCCTTGGTTCTCTTGCTACATTCTCCTTAATGACCCTCACTGCCCAATCAATACATCTCATTTTCTTCTCCAAGCAGGTTCCACCTGCCCAATTCAGACTGCCCACCCCTCCTGCACAGACTGGGTTCATAGTCAGAGAGTTTAGGGCCAGAAAGTCCCACCAGATCATCTAGTCTGACCTCCCATGTATCACAGGTCACCAACACCACTCAGCACCCACACCCTAAACTGGACAACCAAAATTAGACCAAAGTATTACAACTGCCAGGAGACTAGACTGTTGTGTGCCACAGGCAGAGAATAGGAGGGACCAGGGTGCACCACCTGTGTCTGAGGCCCCACAATGGCAGGGAAGTGATTATGTGAGAAATAACGGGAAAATCCTGGCTAGTGACCCACACCCACACGCTGTAAAAGAAGGCAGCTCCCCCCCCCCCCCCGTCACTGCCAAGCTGACCTGGGGGAAGATTCCTGACCCCACATAATTGGACCCTGAGCATGTGAGCAAGAACCAGCCAGCTAAGCATGTGAGAGAGAATAATCAATGCCACCTCAGAGACCTTGCCCGCACAACATCCCATCTCCAGCTGGGGCCATCTCTGATGCTTCAGAGGAAGGAGACAAAAAAGCCCCAAATCCCAGAATACATGTGCCCGGGGACAGGCGGGGTTCTCTTCCTGACCCCTGCAGGTGACTGGCTGAAACCCAGGAGCATGAGATTTTAGGAAGATCAGACATAAACCAGAAGGGAACTCAGGGCTACCGAGCCCTGCTGTCCGCCATCACAAACAACCCATTTTACAATCCCTCTTAAATTTCTCCAGCTCTTTCGAAAAACTAATTGTTTGCTTCCCCCATCCCTAACTCCTGCTGGGAAACTGTTCCAGAATCTTACTCCTCTGATGCTTAAAGTCAACGGGACGGGGGAGGGGAGGGTCGAAAAATCCCACCCTCCTTGGGGTGCCCTGGGAGGTGACATCTTTGGAGAGGGAGGGGTGGAAAAGATAGAAGGGGGAAGCAACCAGGGAAGGGTGTGGTTACCTAAAGCCCGAAGGTAACCGTCCATGTTGTCTTGGGAGACGAATCGATAATAGCCGGTCAGATTGGGAGGCATCACAGGGCAGATGGGCAGAATTGATGGTTGGAATGAGATAAGGGAAGGAGAACAGAAGGGATGAGACCGAGACAAAGCTGGGGACCTTGGACTCCCTCCTCCTCGTTGGTTCCTTTCCTGCTTTCTCTCCCTTAGTCTTGGGGTGGGAGGTGTTATATAGCAGCCCTATGGACAGGCGTCTTGCTGCCGTAAGAGTCCCATCGTTCCTTACTGGGGAACACAGAAAGGGCTGGGGCTCGCTATGTTCCTGCCACCTCCACTTCAGTGTGTGAAGGACCAGGGGGAGCAACAAGCGATCAGACACCAGGCTGAGCTTCCCGGGCCTTCCACACTGGAATTTTTAACTCATGGGTGCCAACCAGGAAGTGTCTGGCCGGCGTCCTCTCTCCATAATTCGGACAGAGTGAGCTTACTCACAGCAGTGCTCTGTCACTGCCCAACTCGGGAGACACCCCGGCAGCTGTGAGCTTCCCCACGGCAGTGCCCTGTCACTGCCCAACCCGGGAGACACCCAGGCACTTACTCCCTATCAGGTTGAGCTTCATGACTGCTGTGGCCAGGGCTGCTGACTGAGTCTGGGGAACCATGGGAAATTGGAGAGCCCTGCTATTTCGTCCCCTCCCAGCGCAGGTGCCCTCCACCCTTCACACACAGCTCTACCGCTGCCTCTCAGCACTACGCTGCAGCGCCCCCGCTATTTCAATCCACCCGCCCCCCGCCGCGCTGCCAGCGCCCCTGCAGAGCCCCTCACCAAGGGCTCTGGAACAATTTGTTTAGTGCGGGTGCTGAGAGCCTTTGAACCAACCTGTGAACCCTGTACAGGATGGAAACCACTTCAAGTCAGGGGGTGCAGCAGCGCCCCTAGTTCCAGCACCTCTGCCCCTCACCCCCAGGCTCTGCTCCCCCAGCCTCCTCGAGCTTGCAGCGAGGAGGAAAAGATTGTCTCCCACCCCTGTGGCTCGCCTCCCCACCATTGGTCCCTTCCCCCCCTGCAGCACCTGGCTCCCGCGCCCATCGCATTGGCTGCTGGCGCCCATCAGTCAGTGCTGGGCTCTGCTGACATCATGCTGCAGTAGAGGGGCTGGGCTGGGGCAGGGAGCGGAGCAGTGCGAGCTCGCTCCATCCATCCCTCCCTCCCCGCTCTGAGGGGCTGCGAGACCAGCCGGCCACCTGCTCAGAGCTCTGCGGCTCGGCGCCCTGCCCTCCGCCCCACAGAAGGCTGAGAGGAGTGAGAGCACAGAGGGGCGGCTGCACATCACCACGGAGCAGGAGGGAGCCGGCTTCCAGGATGGGCTACCCGCCGTCCCTCGCCTCCCTCTTCTTCCTATGTGCCTTGCTGGCCAGCAGTTTCTGCAACAAAGGTGAGCGGAAGCCCCCCAGGGCCAGGTGTCCCGGGGGGATGAGGGGTCCCTCCGGCTTGTGGGCTGGAGCGCAGCGCTCGGGAGCTATCTGCTCTCCAGTCATGTCAAGCGATGACACGCAGCTGCGATCAGCTCATCAGATCCAGCTCCTGGCATGGCGGTGTCTCCAGCTCCCAGCTTGGTGCTGAGCGCTCTGAAGGATCCCTGGTTCTCTCTGTTCATTGCTCCGGTTCCTGTTCACATTGTCACTCTAGTCCTGTTACCCACTTTCCTTCTCTGTCTCCCTCGCTCTTTCCAGCTCTTTCTCACGTTCTCAGGTCGCCTAGTTCTTTCTTCCTCCGAGTTTAGTTCTTCAATTCTTTCCCTCCCCACATATCCTTCCTTTATTTCAGCTCTCTGGCTGTAAGTACCTTGCTTTTTGTTTCTGTCTGTTGAAATACAACACGTAAAATAATTGAGCTATCCAGCACCACACAACATGCCTCTATCTCCATCCTTTGATCCTAGAATTGTCCTTCCAGCATCTGTCTATTTGATTGATTTAAATGGAAATATGTAACCTATGTGAGTTGCATATAAGAGCAAGAGTATTTTATGTGCTAAATATGGGGATGCCAACCTAGAGCTCATACATTCTGAGCATGGATGTTGTCCAAAAACACAGAGAGAGAGGTTACAAGATCTATGGCTGTAGGCACAGATGGGGAGAGAGAGAGAATAATTTAATAGGGCAGAGTAGCATACAAGGGGGCAGAAGGGATGCCTAGGAACAGGGAGTTCTGGGCCCCTTCGCTCCCCATCGGAAGATGCAAAGCTGGTTCTGGTTACTGGGTGCAGAGCTATGTGTGTATCAGTTTTGGAGGAGGTAACCCCTTATTATTAATTATTATTATTATTATTTATTATTATTTGTACTGCGGTAGCACCTAGGGGCACAATCATGTATCAGAGCCCCCTTGGGCTAAGTGTCCTCCATTTCCCCTTGCATCTGCCTTTAACAAGTGTCTTTACCTCTCATGGGATCTTCTTGGAGGTGGCAAGAGCCTTCCTCTGCCCCCAAATCTTCCCATGATCCCTGGAGACTCCCCTCCCAAGAAATCACCCCGGTGCCTTCCAATTGAGGGACGGATACAGTCAAAATTTATCCCTCCACCATCAGCTTGTTGCCCCAGCAACGGGGCGTACCTGGTATTTACAGCCATCTATTCCCACCTCTATTACATAGTTTATAAATCAGAACCTGCCTCAGAGTGGAACGGGATCGGGGCTTTTCTGTGGGAGGGTAAGGTGAGGTGTGGAATTGCACACAGGAGGGGGTCCCGTTGCATACTGATGAGAATAAAGGGACAATGGATGTTTCTCTGGGTTTCAACACAATGCAGCGTTAATCAATATGGTGAGATATAAATCCCAACCCACAGCCTTTCCTGCTACGCAGGCTGGATGTCCCCTTCTGATGCACCTTAGTCCTGACCTGGAGCCCTGCTTGCTGCCTGAGTCCTGGACTTGCTACACACAGCTCTGCCAATGCACCTCAATTCTGATCTGTGGAAATGAGTGGCTGACTCTTATAGGGGTCACGCTGAATCAGGACTGATCCCAATGTCCCAACATGGTGCAAGGCAGAGCTCTGCTGCAGGAAAGCACCCCTATATTAGAAATGGTGCCCTTGAGGTGAAAGGCTCTGTATCCTTTTCCCCAACCCCTCTGAGCCCATGCTGTGTGGTCGAGCATTGCCTGGGTGTGACTGTATCCTTGTCTCCCTGGACAGGGGGTGGGGTAGGATTAGCTGGGAGATGGGGGTTGAAACTAGGCCATTGCATTATAATCCCTGAGACCCATTCAGCAGGGATTGGATGGTGGGGAGGTGGTGTTCATTTGTAATGATTTTCCTTCTCCCTCTCACTCCCTTCCTCCTCCTTTCTCTCTTTCCCTGCCCCGGAGCTTGTGTGATAAAGATTAATTTGCTATTTCTGGGCCTGTGACATTTTTCAGAGCCTCCTGTTGGCTGCTGTCTCAAAGCTGAGTCTGGCCAGGCTCCAGCCAACGAGATTAGCACTTCGGGCAACAAGGAGGGGCCAAGGGAATATGGGACATACCATGGAGCCAGGGATGAAGGAGAAAGGGACTCATGGAGTGGGACATATGCATGGAGAGAGCAGCACAAAATATCTATTCTGGAGCCCTTCAATTCCTGGCCCCACAAAGAGGTGGGGCAGAAGTGGTCAGGTTGCTCCTCGGGAATATTCCCTATGGAGACCCTAAGGGCGGCTCTGTCCTTTAATAATGACTTTATTAAGCTGGGGGCAGGGTGGGATTTAGTTCTTTGAATCTCTCCTCAGAACTTGACTCCTCCAGCCTCTGGAGAGTTGCTGTGGCTCTTGTCTGAGCTCCCTCCTAGGAATGAGGGCCCCAGGACAGAGCACAGTATTCCCAGTGGAAGCTCTCCAGAGCCACATAGAGTGGGACTATCCCTCCCTACCCCTTATCAGCCTACTTTGGGCCCCCTTTATTTCAGGGTTGAGCGTGGTGCCCCCAGCCTGCATCTAGGGAGCCATTAGCTCTATGATTGTGGCTAACTTGTTCATATCCTCCTCTTCCTGTACCCCCAAACCCCCTCAGCAAACAAGCACAAACCCTGGATTGAGGCTGAATACCAGGGCATCGTCATGGAGAATGATAACACAGTCCTGCTCAACCCACCGCTATTTGCTCTGGACAAGGATGCACCATTGCTCTATGCAGGTATCTGGGTAACAGGCTTGGGGTAGAGGAGATGGGGCGGACAGAATCAGAAAGAGAGAGAGGATTGGATTGTCGCTCAGCACAGGAACTTTACAGCACCTCTGGCAAGGACCCCACCGCAGGTTAGAACAGTGTATGGGCTGCCCTAACATGCACCAGTTGCCGGTGGACCTGGGAGCCTTTCACAAAGCCAGGAACACCCTGGGCAAGACTCCTGCTTCCCCTAGGAATGCCCTGTACTGGGGGCTTCTGCAGAAGGTGATCTACCCTGGTAACGGGTGTCAGCAATGGTATAAAGAAGCCATGAGGCAAGCATGAATCCACACGCAGGGAGATAAAAATGAGAGCATGATAAGGGAATGGGTGAGGGAGAAAGGAAAGGGGTGTTCTCAAGATGAAATGGGGGGGACGGGACATAAGAACGGCCATAATGGGTCAGCCCAAAGGTCCATCTAGCCCAGTATCCTGTGTTCCGACAATGGACAATGCCAGATGCCCCAGAGGGAATGAATAGAACGCGTAATCATCAATTGATCCATCCCCTGTCTCCATTCCCAGCTTCTGGCAAACAGAGGTTAGGGACACCATCCCAGCCCATCTTGGCTAATAGCCATTGATTGACCTATCCTCCATGAACTTATCTAGTTCTTTTTTGAACCCTGTTATAGTCTTGGTCTTCACAACATCCTCCGTCAAAGAGTTCCACGGACTGACTCTGCGTTTTATGAAAAAATACTTCCTTTTGTTTGTTTTAAACCTGCTGCCTGTTAATTTCATTCGGTTCTTGTGTTATGAGAAGGAGTAAATAACACTTCCTTATTTACTTTCTCCATACCAGTCAAGATTTTATAGACTTCTATCATATCCCTCCTTAGTCGTCTCTTTTCCAAGCTGACAAGTTTGGAAGAGGGACATGTTGCAGAGAGATGGTGAGGTGTGGTGTGGATGGGCAAGGACTGGGTGGAAGGGGAAGGTAACTCCTTGCTGTCCTCATTGTCCTGTTCCTCTTCCCCTTTCTGTCTCTCTCCCTCTCCTCCCCTGCTCTGGGGGACACCAGGTGAGATATGTGGCTTCCGGATCCATGGGGC